ACTGCAAAGTAAATATTGAAGCGAAAGCAGTAGCTAAAATTTCAGCGCTTGCAATGGTCATCCCGCATGCGTATGTTGCATATATATATATATATATATATATGTATGTATGTATTAAAAACAAATCATAAAATATTAATTATCAGTAACCCCTCATTTGTTAGCTTTTAGTAGATGCAATTCTTGAATCCAGTAAAGAAAACAACAAAATCTCAACCCTTGATCTTCATCTTCTTCTGGGTCCACCTCTATTTTTTATTTTTATTTTTATATATTCATTTTATAAACTATTTATTGCCTCATTTACATCTTCTTCCTCACCAATCTCCCCCCAAATCACTCTCTCTCTCTCTCTCTCAAACTTCTTATATATAAATATATAAATATAGTCACATATAAACACCCATTAAAGAGTCTTCCATTGATGACTATGTTTTAAACAAGGTTTCCATGTGTTCTTAGCTCCTGCAAGTGATATATATACATATGTATATGTATATTTATGAGTGAGAATTAAGAATTGGTTGTCCATAATAGATGCAAATTTCTCTGCGCTTTGCCTTGCTTTTGCCACAAGAAAAATCACCCAGAAAGTCCAGTTATGGATATCAACCACACTAACTTCCCAAACCACTGTTGGAATAATCATGAGATACTGTCCGGGGAAGATGGTGGTGTCGGCCACCTCCATAACCAAATCACCTTCAACTCACTCTGCCCTCCTAATTACTCCCACCAAATCTTCTCCTCCTCCTCCCCATCATCACCACCCTCCACCCAAATCATACCCACTTACACTACCAACCTTTTTGCTCAAAACATGGAGATGGATGAGGAAGAAGAACCAGAAGAAGAGCTTGGAGCCATGAAAGAGATGATGTACAAGATCGCCGCGATGCAGCCGGTGGACATAGATCCCACCACTATACGAAAGCCGAAAAGGCGAAACGTCCGGATCAGCGACGACCCACAGAGCGTCGCGGCGCGTCACCGGCGGGAGAGAATAAGCGAGAAGATCAGAATCCTCCAGCGACTAGTCCCCGGCGGAACCAAACTCGATACGGCGTCAATGCTGGACGAGCCATTCGGTACGTTAAGTTCTTGGAGAGGCAAATTCGTGTTCTCCAGTCAAACAGCCAGCAAGATCAACGGCCAGGAGTGGGGTGATCATCATTGGGAAGTGCACCA